GAGGCGTCACTGGCTTTATTTTTATCATTTCTGTCGTACATTGGGTTACCCTGTAAGGAAAATAAAATGTCCTGCAGCTGAAGAGGTTTATTGTCTTTTGATTGTTCGTTACTTCTACGTCTCTGTCCGTAGCGAAATGCATAAACAAAACACATTCCAGAAAGTATGGCGGCCACTACAGATCCTGATATCAGAGGTACCCTTATATTTACATCACTATCTGGATCAGACGTCAACAAGGGTACAGCGTTTGTTGTTCCTAGTGTGTTTTTCTGTGTTTGTGCTGGGGTCAATGTGATCGATGTATTCATTCTGTTGTCGGTGCTACGAGGACTGGTAACAGATATATTCATGACCATTGCAGTTGATTCCACAGTAAAATAACTGTCAGTTGAGACCAGCCTCCTGAAAACATATTTTGTCATCGGTTTCTTGTATTGCGCAGGTGTTAAAGAACGAAACATGCCTGCCTTTTTTGAACGAAAATGAAGCACGGCACTGCAGGCAGAAAATGTTCACAGTCACTGTCTTTATCTGTACTTACCTTTTGGGAGCCGAGAATTTTCGATGTTTTGTTCAAGACAGTTGCTACCACCCTTAAACCCATGTTTGTAGAGACGCCAGGTTCTGCACTTGTTTCTACGCCAGAGATTTTTAATTCAACTGAACCCCTTAACGCCAAATCTATACTGCCTGATTCTATCCATGCCTGTGAACATTGGGTAAATGAAGACATCTCTTGTTTTCCACTATTCCTTGCTATGATTACAAAAGGAGGGGAAGCCGTGTAGTACCCCAATAATTCCTCTTGCCATGCTGGATTACGTGAGTCTACACCGCTGAAGACCTCATCTCCGTCTTTATGATTACTTCTCAACCAAGCAATACTGAATCTAGAACCAGTATAGTCATAATCCATCTGTAAACTAGTATAACGGACGGCTACTCGTATCCATTGTTTTGGATTTTGCTCAAAGTTCTGTAGCACAACGTTCCATGCTATATCATGTACAATATATCTTGTGGGGCTAACAAGATTATTTCCTCCAAGGGTGAGTTTGATAAGTTTGTTAAGAGAAGAAAACACTTCCTTCTCCAGACATGACAAGTCGTTATGACTTAGGTCGAGAAACTGAATCTCGGGTAAAGATTCAAAGGCATTTGATGGAATCGTTTTGATTTTGTTTTCACTGAGAAGTAGCGTTGTCAATTTGTGCAAACCAACAAACCACTGGCTCCGTACCTGTCGTAGTGCGTTACTCTGGAGATCTAACAACAGGAGATTGAACAAACTTTCAAAACATCCGGGATCCAAACTAGCGATGTTATTGTGAGACATCGAAAGCTTGATGAGCATTTTAGCCATTGAACGTGGTCCACTGTACCAGTTCTGTGGAATATGTGCAAGCATGTTATAATCTAGATATAACCTTCTTAACTCGTGAAAATCCTTGAATGTGGCGTTGTGTATTTCAGTAATCCCCGTGTGGAAAAGAAGAAGGCTACTGAGAACAGCAGAATCGATTGGCGCTAGTTTTTGTGATGACAAGATTCCGAATCGTAACTCGTATTGCGAGCCATTCTATATTAGGGAAACATTTGCTTTTGAATCCCTTTTCAATTTCAGAAGAATGTTCCTGGTCATCACTGCACGAGATGCACTCTGTCCTATGGAACATTTGGTATCTAGTAAACAGTTGACTGTCTGACAGTATTTTATCGGTGGGCAAGCAAGATACCCATTTTCGCCTTTCACAGTGTGGAAAGCAGTTTTGATTTGCTGAGAGATCTGTTACCACTGTCAGAGCAAAAATGATCAAAACACCGAATACTTGCTGACTTCTGGAGTTCATTTTTAAAAGAATTCTCAGATTGCCCTCCTTTGCCCTGAATGTCAGTACTTGAAACGTGAAGCAGTTTTTAGCCCTTCCAAACCCGTAATTCAGTTTCACTCTTGTAGAGGTTGTAAGTGTTTTACTTGCCTTGTGGACCAAACGAGTCCTTGGTGATCGCGAGAGAGGCGACAAGGTCTTTTTACCTGAGCGATGACTGTTGAAGTGATCAGAAGCCTCACTGAAGACCAGGCTTCATGGCGAGAGGACCTCAGGGTTCTTTCACCGTCGTCGTTGCCGGATAGGCCTGCCTTCAAACGGCGGCGAGCAAGAAAATCTTGGTTCTTGGCGGTCCCAGTGTATTTGCTATGGGCAATTTATACAATGAAGCCTTCTTTAACGTTGTCAAAACGAAAAATAATGACCCGCTATTTTGACCACAGATGCATGCCCTGCAGGCAAAAATGAAGCGAGTGAAGTGACCACTGACTGGACTCCTTTTAATATCGAAGCACAGACTAATTTGCAGACCACTGAATATATAAGTTGTTTACAGCAATGGAATTATACAGAGAGGAAATCACATCTTAGATTTTGCAGAAGGAAACATGTTTTCAATCATAAAGTAGGGCATGACGTCAACAATTAGTCTGACTTCCGATCCCTGGGGAACCTGTTTAGCACCAGGGTAGCTATGACTATGGCCGTGTCTATACGGAATCACCCAAACCGCGATTCGGGTAACTCATATTCCTCACATCTGGTCCACGTGCCACACACACCTGTGAAACCGTGTCCGAACATAATGCGCTTGAGCTACATTTATTGCTGTTTGATGATAACACGCAAGGTAGCGTGTTATTAATGTCAGAGGTCAACGACCTGCTTGCTGATGCCCCCCTCCCAGCGTATCTCGGCCGAATGCCGACGTGGTCCCGCCAGAGGCGGTGAAGCTCGCCCTAGGACGGACACATTATTTGACCATTACTGCTCTTTAAGTTGCTGCCACGTAAAAGTTGGTATTGCATATAAATAAAGAAATATCACCCCGTAATACATGACCAGGCGAAGTCACATTGAAATCACATTGCGTTCAGACGCAAATCGCGATGCGGGGAAACCGATTCGAAACCACCTCTAGAAGTGGCTTGGGCTCGAGGCGCTTTCAATGTGATTTCGGAGCGTTCACATGGAGCCACTTGAAACCGGCTTCGGGGTAAACCACATGTAAACCGCCTTGGGTGATTCCGTTTAGACACGGCCTATGTATCAGCGTCATCTCTAGGCATGCTGCGATGTGTTCTTGTGTTTAAAACGGCTGTAATATTGTCTTTCATCAGTAGTTTATGAGGTAGGGGTGTTGTTCCATCTGACCAACAGGACACAGTTTTCTCTGTGCGTTCAGACAATCTTTTGACAACTAGGCTTTGATGATTGAAGAAACACACACAGTTTGATCGAAAAAAATCACAGTTTGATTAAAAAAACAGGCTGTATTGAGATTACGAATTTACGAATTATTTGGCTCATTTCCTCCAGTGGTCTATTGAGATCAACTTTGTCTAGAAATACCATTCCCCTCTAGACTAGGGTTATGTTGCACCGCGTATACTACTACCTACTGACGTTCTGAATACGAAGGAATTGCCTGGCTACGTAAATGCCCTGATCTCGATCGAGGTCATTTGTGCCTGATTTAATATAAAGACCCTGCCACACACTTAGGACACTCCCCCGACATTACCTACTAACTTCAACTCAAGCACAAACTATCCAACCAAGGTTGGCGGTTGGTCGCGAGCAGTCTGACTGCAGTTCAATCTCATGCACGACCATGTCACAACCATTTCACAACCAACAAATGGCTTTACTCCCAACCGAGACCCAAATATTTTCGGACCTACTCCCAACTATATCGCGGCTACTAGCCACAGGCTGCTGACCCCTGGTTGATTATCCACCTTGCAGACCAACTGCCAACCATCTTCAAACTTGCTCCCAACCTCCTCCCAACCTGGGGAAGGTTGAGAGTAGTCGGGAAGCCATGTCCTGCTCACGGCGTTTTTGGGCCCCGTTTGACCTGCGTGTCGTCCCCATGGCAACGAGTTTCCCGCTGAAAAAGCATGCTGATATATCTCGCAAAGAACAAGGACATATTGGCCTATTTTCCGCACCAATTATCCAATAAACAATAGAGTAGGTGTCCACGTGTTAACACAGGTGGAGAGAGTCCTTTGTTCTTCTTGTTCTTCCCCCAGGAGTCTATAGATTAGAAGCCAGCATTTTGCTTGATCTGAGGGCAAACTAGACCGTATCAAGACCGTACAGGAACCAAAGAGTTGTATTTTTCTCTCAAATGATAGAATCTATTGCACATCTTTTTAATAGCTATTGGTGCAATGGGATATAAAGGATAATTCATTTTGTTTTACCAGAGATAAACATTCGAACCAGTACCTTTAAAAACGTTTTCTTGTGAACAGAACAAAACCTTGTTTCATGAAATACTCATAACACAAAGTGATGCATTTAAGATAAGCGACCGTTTCCACTAAGCGTAACTCAATGCTTTCATTAAGAACACTTATAATATTAGACTTGCCATTTGATATTCCATAGCACCGAAGATCGGTCCTCTGTCTAGGAACCGAAATTCTCTTCTCTAAACGTTTTTCGTCTTTCGGGCAGATTCTTTCATATCAATCATCATACAAAGTCGAGTTTTTACATTTTTTCCAAATGCACCTCTCAAACCAGTATATAAGGAGCCTCCTTGTTCTAAACAAGACGGTGTTCGTGTCAATAGGGGAGCCGTCTTATGCAAATTTACAGTGTATTACTGCCGGCACAGTCTACTTTGCTTAAAGGGGTGTACGAACGAATGGAAGAAGAAATAAATGTGTCCATTTGCACCAACAACTATATCCTCCCGAATAACATACATATATTAAGTATTCTTAATTATTGTGTCATGTGTGTAACCGTGAAGTTGATATTTTTGTTGATAAGGGAGCTGTAATTCACCTCTTAGTATCTCAGCACCCCTATTTTGCAATGGTTGACTCTAATCCCAGGGATTGCCTTAGTCAGCAGACCTCGGCTTGTACTGTCGAAACGTCCCCTAACCCAACACAAATTATCCCCCTCTCTGTGTGAGATATTTGTTCACAAACACGGGCTTAAATATGACTTGGTGATCACCAAAGCGTGCCAGTTTTCAATTAGTCCCACCCTTACGGTCTGTGCATTGCGTTTGAATTGGGCTCATTTTGCACATGTTATGTGAATATTTCAAGAAGTGGGTCGTCTTGCTTAGTAACTGTACGTAGTCACGAGAACATTTCGCAGTAAAGAGTGTGCCAGCAAGGGTTGTGGATAAAATGGTGGCGTGGAAGTTTGTACTGCAGACTTGAATGGATGCTGCTTGCGGAACTGGTGTCGTGTGTACGGGGGGAAGTTCTGCTTTGTGACGGTTCTACTCGGAACTGCGTCCGATGACGTCGCGGATGCGGCGAAGGTTGTCCTAGAACAATACTAGAAGGGGATAAGAATGCAGGATTCGTTTTCCCGACGTTTACAGCTGGATCCGTCGTATAAAGGATCTTTGTGTGAAGGGAAATACGTGCGGAGTACATGTCCTGTTGGTTTTTTCCCTGTATAGCGCCGTGCTCTGTCTCTTTGTGCCGTAACCAAGGACGTGCAAGCGCCGCTCTTGTGCTCAAGAGAAGCTGCGTGCCTTGCCCTGTGGGGAAAGGACCGCACTAATTGCGGGGACAACACGATACTAGGATCCTCTACCGTGTACTATACAATCGGGCCAATCTCTCCAGCTGAAATCTGACCCGACCGTGTCACCCTCCCACTAGTGCTGTAACAGGGATCGTCTGTGCGGACTGCTCGCACGCAATGTTCTCTCAAGACGCAGCGTCTTAAAGGAGGACCTCAGACGTCTTACAAGAAAATGCCGAAGTGGGCCAGGACCTTGCGATTCGACAAAACAGCGCGGAACTGCAGAATCGGTGAAACGTTGGATATCTCTGTTGGATGGTGTGTGCTCCTACATACACGTACTACTACACGTCAGTAGCCAGGTGAGTACGTTGTACGTTATATCATTGTACCTGCAGAAACCCGACACTAAGGTTCGAATAATTGTGAGGATGTTGTTGTCATTGTTCATGTTGTTGTTGTTGCCTACGTCCTCTGATGCATTTTATTTTCCCGTAAGCTCTTTGTCTGTCACCTTTATTATTCTCTGCTCATAGCTGTATCCTACCCTTCGCTCTTTCATCTGTTGTGACCGCCGGTAGGAAAACATAGCTGTATCACCTATCAGTACATTAACCGAGAGAAGAAACCCGAGAGCGTGCGTGGTGCGTTGTGACAGTTTTGAAAATAACAGTAGCATTTTAAGCCCCCTCGCGTGAAAGAAAATATTCCTTTGATTCACGGGAATATGAAGAAAAAATTCTGCAGTTTTGAGAGAAAAATAAAATCCTCCATGTTGTGTGTACCTACCCCTCCCCTGGTCCATATCTGGTGGCGTGTCAGTACAGTTTGCATAGGCATATTTGTCTCACAATGGAGCGTTGTGCGGTACAGGGTCCTGTCATGCCAGGTATGCTTGTATCTTAAATGGTCCCAACACAGAAGACTAAGCCTCTTAGAAAGTGTCCCGTTAAGTGTTTTATAAGGTCTGGGCAAAACACGAAAATAAAACGTTCTCGACGGTGTAGAATATACAACTCGCGGCGGGGGGGGGGCGTAAACAAGGGATAGCATTTGGACAATGGCTATCGCCCATGACGAATAGTCGAAAACGCCTCTTCTACAAACAAATGATTTTCACACAGCTGACAACAATACTCTCTCCAGCCTTACACAATAATACACAAAGGCAGGCCTTTTTTCTCGATCACGGTCCGGAAAGAGATGGCCAACCCGAATGTTTTCTTCCCAAACTTGCCCTATCGGCCAAATAAACCAGCACTTGGGCTGAAGAAATAGTCCGTAAACCCTGCCAAAATATTGTGCTATTCTACTGATCCTTCCTGAGCCGATGGCGTAAAATGCTGGGCGGGCATCTAAAAATAACGATACTTATAAAAGTAAACAATCGCCCCCCTCCCCCGTCCCTACCACTGTGTAATAATCACTGCATTTGTTTTCTTTTGTAATTCGTGCTTACATGGTCATTGTTATGTTGTTCCTTTTTATTGCTCCTTTTAATTTTTTTTCGCCTGTTATAGATAACTAGATATGATAGATTTAGACACTGTTATATTTTGGGTTTCCACTTAGGACTGAAATGACTGGTTTATTTTCGTGCGGAAAACTCGGGGGGATCTGAGAAGCCACGGAATAAATAGGACAAGCAAATAGTAGAGCAATTCACGACGTCATACCTCTTCTGCTTTCTTTTACAAGAATGTCTCGGTCGGCTGGGTGCTTTGTTATGTGTTCCCCCACGTCGACAGGGCGTTAAGATGGGAGATCCTGAGGGGACTGACCGTTTTCCTATCTCATTACGCGTCATTCTAAAGCTTACAACGACAATAACATCAAATTTCTGTGATCATTACTCAAAATAGGACACCCCTCTCTCTCTCACACACACACACACACACCTTCCACATTTTCAACCTCTCTTCCCAGCATGCATCACTTCTTTGTCGCCATAACAACGTAACATTCTAGTGAATTCTGCCATCTCGACCGACCAGCTACTTGCATGATCCGTCTGCTCAAGGACATTCTGTCCCAGTGTGATCATCTCTTGTGTACCCAGTAAATATGCATGTTTGAGTTGTCCCTACTCTTGACCTCTGACCTCGCGGCAAACACCTTGTGAATTGTCATGTCTCCTGAACTGTCGGTCATGTCGGTATCGTCTCTGCAATGTGTACCGAGAAGAGGGGGACATTTGTGCATTTCGTGTCATGACAACAAAGGTATTGTGTTCGATCAATTTCCCTTACTAGATATAGACTTCCCTCATCCCTATCTGATGCTACATGCATGTCATTCTGATTTAAACCTCCTTGATCAAACTAACATTGATATTCATGTCCCTCCGCCATAATTTTGTGATATTCCTTAGCTGTGGGCCTGGTACGATTCGTGCATTTGAAGAACGATCTGTCTCACATCAAACATGTGAAGATATTTACAAAGGAGTCCCTCCAAGAACTACAAGGGGTATCGGCCCCGGCCCCTATGGAGAAAAAAGCGGATCACCCGGCGCGGGCGTCACCAACTAGCAGGAGAAATTATGGGCTTAACTCGGACAACCGTGACTCAAAGTACGGGGAGGGTCAATTAAATTAGTGGCTGGTCGGCATTAATCCTGCATTACCCTACTCACGCTGGGATAAACAGTACCTTCGTATCTTACCGGCGTCGGTTTTCTTCGGCGGAGACAGACGGGTGTCCTCCCCGAGCCTAACTAGACGCGGGGTGTGCTCTATTTTCTGCTAGAGGACGCCAGTGGGGCTTAAATCTAGACAACATGCATTTGCCCATTGGGTTGATAGAATTAAATGACCTATTTTCCACCAGGAAGGGCACTTTGTTATGTAGTTAGAAACTACAGACAGGGACGGTCGCATGTGGAGCTTCACAGAAACGGTAGTACCTGATATGTCATTGTCACTAGCTGATTTTGAATTAATAATAACTGAAATACGCTTCGTACGGCATGGCAACATTTCAGTCAAATCACTGTCAGATTTCTTTGAAGGGTTTCTAAGTTTAACACAATTATCACTTTGTCAGTTATGTGGTATGTTGTTACATATCGAGTCCCCAAAGTTATAAACTGTGAAAAATTTGATACGTGACACCGAAAATATTAATGATACATTGATGATAACTTCCGTTTCGGCTCAGTATACTGTGGCGTGTGGATAAGATAGAAAATATAGTGACGGAAAACAAAAGTCCTTTAGTACACTGACGCAAGAATAACAACTGTGAATAGATATGCGTCAGAATACTTTATTGTAGTGTTATGTCCATAGAGGTGTAAAATCTTTGTGTTACGACATGTGAACAAGAATAATGACACGATACAGATGAAATAACGACATGAAAATTAATCATCGTTAAATGCTGTACAACTGCTGAACATAAAACAATCATGAACTAACCGTAAACCTGTCAGCAATCTGGGTTTATCTAAAAAGAGTATTTTTTTCTATTTTTTATTCCGCCAATTAATCATATAATCCTTATTACCACCTATAAGAGGGTGACATAGATTCTGACATGCATACAACCTTCAGTAACCCTAGTTTCATTCGTCAATGTCCCGATCTAGCGTGACATGTACCAGGAATGACAGAGATGCGTTTGCCTGCGATCGTCACATCACCGCTAGTTGAAATGAATGTGAGGTCACAGAAAGGTCATGGTGTACAAGATCCTAACATTAATCCTCGAACCAGTGAACAAAAATGTCGTTTTACTTGTACTTTCTGTAAGCAGACGACAGAAATTATTTTGCATGTCAAATCAAACAAATGACGATTTTGTTTCCGTTCAGTACATGTTTTGGTTCAGTGACGAGTGATAAACAGTAGAGGGCGCTTTTGACAAACACTACATGTGCGTTGCTTGACAATAATGTATTCACTGTAAAGCTGGCTTTAGTAGATTGTCTGATGCTTGTACTATATGCAAGATGAATATGCCATCTCCTGCTCGTTTTAGCCATGAGTTAGCATCAAAGATGCCAGAAACGCATTAATAGTTAGCATCAAAGATACCAAAAACACATTAAACCAGCAAGTTACGTCTATTCCCTACCCTTGGCCCAGCTCTCTCGAGCTCACCAAATAGTGATGCATATCTTGTATAGCGCGCGCTATATGTACCTTTACAATTTGTCTTTGCACTAAGTTCAGCATGGCAGACAATATTCATATAAACGTGTTCAGAATACGAACTTTTATTGCTTTACACCGTAAAAATCCAGTGTTGTTCAACAAGCAGTTGACTCTACTTTGCGACCCATAAAACAATTTCCACCGAACGAAGACGAATGTCATTCTAATGTCAAACAGTAGAGTAGGGTTTGAACACGGCGTATTGCATACCCTAATCGTCAGGCGCGCGACAATCCTAATTTCAAGCCGATTATTTCTGACACAGATGTTGTAACGTCTCATCTGTCGCTTCCCGGCGCCTGCTGTAATGAATCGGACTGGCTAATTTCATTCCAATCAGTCCTAACCGCGAGGCATAAATATCAAATGATTTACAAGAATGGCTATCCCATATTCCAATGTGCGGCTTATTTACAACAAAAGTAGATGTTCTAAACGGTTTCTCTGGGAATTTCAAGCTGTTTACGCCGATCAATTTAACAACTATGCATTGATGAATCATCATATATAGACAACAATGCTTTTTTAAGGTTCTAGCAAAAGCTGGATTGCCAGTTATACTTAGTCACCTTAAGCTTGCGTACTCGAATCGAATAGTTCGTGTTTTAGACAAGGTCATCAATTCCAAGAACCTTAGTTGTAACAAGTTGGTCATTCCTTGCAGACATGTCCTTTACCACCTGTGACTATGAAAATAATGACAGAAAACACACTTGTAACTGACATCACGCCAAAATATCCTAAATATTAAAACATGCATAAAAGACGTACACTATGTGCATGCAGAGATTTGCCTGCCAATAATTGCAAAAAAAAAGTACCACTGTGACTCGAGGGGATAGCCTTATGAGGATTCATCTTTACGTTGAACGACAAAAATCCACATTCTGTGGATTGTGAATTTCACTGCAGTTTGAAAACCTAGCTGCGGGAATAATGTCGCCGTCCTTTCTTGACCTTTCTTCGGTACGTATTACTTTTCACATCATCGTGGATATCCGGATCGCGCCGCCTTTGAACTAAAGTCCCCCCTATCATCCTGAACAAACCCGCTAATCCTCGTCTGGGCATTTCCTGTCACCTATCCTGTCCCCGACGCGCGTGTCGTGTGCCGAATTAATTGCAGATTTGTCTCCAATCTCAGTCGTCAGCAGCTGAGTCGGTGCGACCTCACGCAATCCTAACCACCGCGCACACACCCGCAGTTACACGGGCCGAACAAACTCCATTTCCCGTCACACAGCTTTTCCCATTTCCCATCTCATTTCCGTCATCATGATAATGGTGTTATGATTAATGTCCCCCGTGTATTTTCTACGTGTCATTTTGAGTAATCCCTCTATATCTGTTCCCATCTCTTGGACACTGTAAAAGCACGTCGAAATGCCATCATATTGGCTATAAATCGACCAGATTTAGACAAACATGTATCTAAGTTAATATGAATTCGTTTTACACATAATGAAAAACACCCTCTTTCGTTTCTGGCTAGATTATTACTGTGGTTTTAGAAACTATTAAACGCTGTGTTGAAATCGTTAGGAGCATGGCACCATCAGATATGGTCCTGAATGACATGCCATTGATTTTTCACATGAAGCTTGATGCAACTGGCTTAAAACCCCATTTGGAAGCCTCATTTACACGTCCTTGTTATTTCTGAAAGGTGTGTGAGCGAAGCTGATGGAGTCCTGAGTGAAGATTAGGTGGTGCCTAGTGCCGAGACCTGGTGATAGGGTGTGGTAGTGTTCTGGGTAGAAGCAGCACCACTGTACACGTTCAAGAGACCCCGCCGTCACAAAACATCATTCATCGGTTCACCCTGAAGACGCTCCTCGTTTAAAGGTGGGAGTATCTTTCGTTTTTTTTCTTCTGTTGACAGTAAAAACATACATATTAAACATAGAAGATTGTTTTATTCCATGTTACCGAATGCCTTTAAAACTAGTCAGATATTGAACATCTTATAGACGACGAAAATATCCAAACTGTTAATTACTAGATCTCAAAAAATATCAACTTGACATCGATAATTCTGAAGAAATACAGTAATTTAAGGTGACTACTTTCGACACTTTTATCAAGTACATATATCCCTTAACATATATCATATAAACAATAACCAAGCTTGCAATATCTTATTTTGTTTCTTATCTAGTTAAATTTCTGCAATTTATTCATCGCATGGTTTCACCAGGAACAACTGCGTTAAAATAAAACGGAAACGAATAAGTATTTATTGACCACACCATATTCTGTGGGTGGACCTAAGCTTTTAGAAGGGGGATTTCTACGTGCCCATTTTTAAAGCACGTGTGCCAAATGCATCGTGATTTTATAGACATTCCTACCTCCTTTGTCAAGCGCAAACCCCTACACTAACCATAGAAGCCCATTTTCCCCCAGAGGTGTAATGGCCACTTTTATATTTGGTGAAACAGAAGAGAAATGGCGGGGAAACTGTTCACTGTCAGGGATCAATCGTGATGTTATCACAGCCGTGGTTACAGGCCGTGACCTCTTATTTCAGCCCACTAACTGAATGTCACTATTCTACACACATCAGTCTCAGACTACAGTAGACTCTCAGGGCTCGAAATTCATTTTTGGGAATAGGTGCACTGGTGCACCCAACCTAAAAAAAATTGAGCGCACCATATAAAAAGAATAAGTAGAATTTCAGCAAAAACTAATTATGTTTCATTTTTAAAGAAAAATACTACAAGATTTTCCTATTTGTCTGACACTTAGGTGCCAACAATATGCTGTACAGTATTATACATTTAACATCTTTATATACGTTAACCTACGAAACTATTTTGGTGTACTGATGCACACACACACAAAAAATGGGCGCACAGCTCCAAATATTTGTGCACTAGGGTGCACATGTACCCAGTATTTCGATCCCCGGTAAAAGTCACGTTTAAAACACTGTCGGAAATAGAAGATTTGGGAAACTGGAGAGTATATTATGATCTATACTCTTGGTTCCGACGGGTTACAGCTGTGAGTACCTTTCCAAGTGAATCTGGTTCAGCACCAAGGACAGAGCAATCATGTAGTTATATGTTGTTCAAACACAAATCATGTGTTATTTACGTCTCTCTGTGAAAAATTATTTTGCAGAATAGTATGCTGTCACAAGACATGTTGAATAGTGATTGTGATAAAGTACAGAAATGCTTATTTTTTTAAGATGGCGTACCCATTTAGCCAAAAGCAGCACGCAGTACCCGTGTTCCGCACTCAAAGTTGTAGTATAAGGCCAAACTAAATAAACATGCTTATCTTTGAAATATCACAAGGTCTACCCAAAATGTAGGGCATGGCATAATGTAGATCATATCGGAAGATGAAGGTGAGAGTTCGAATTAGGACGCCCGTAAAGTGCACGTTGTTGACACGAGAACGAATAGATAATCACTACAACAAAGATGTGCAGGATACTTTGCCACACGTCACTCTTTTCTTATCTGATCTAAAAATGGTCGCGAGGGTTTACCAAGCCAGAATGGCCCAGACCTGGCATGTACTGTGTCATTTTCTGTACAATATTTTCAAATCACCGTACTAAACTTCTAACGTGTTACTAGTACCTTAAAGTTTGTGATCGTCTAGCCTCCTTTTTGGGCGTTCCAGGATCG